CAGGGCAAACTCCTACATCCAACGCCACTGTCGCCCCGATTAGGTGTGTCCTAATGTTTTCCATGGGTATCAAATGGAACACTCTGCTGTACCTCTCTAAAAATGATAGGTGAGCGCAGACAGGAGGCCTCTGATTGGTCAGATCTACATCCGCTCTACGCTATGCGTATTTCCTGTTTGGTTCCTTGTTCTGTTTGTATAACCGCCATTGTGGAAAACGACTGGTGAAGGAAGTAGCCACATCGTTTACGACTCGTTCTGCACGCCACAAGGTCAGCACATATACACCTCCATAACCGGAGGAGTAACACGCAACCCACCAACAATCACAGCTAGTTCCTGATTGGCCCTCTGGTGTTGAGGCGTGGAATAACAGCGCAGAGAACGCTTCAATACTGGGCAGAAATCTAAAATATCTGCGTCAAGCTGCAGGAGGAGAAGCAGCCTTTAGTTGGACTAAACTTAAAATATGCAGGTGATGCTGTCCTTATGTAATTATTTATTCAATAATTGATTGGACGGACGGACAGACGGATGGATGGATGGATGGACGGACGGACAGACGGACGGACAGATGGATGGACGGATGGACAGACGGATGGACAGATAGATGGACGGATGGACAGACGGACAGACAGACGGATGGACGGACGGATAGACGGACAGACAGACGGACGGACGGACGGACAGACGGATGGACGGACAGACAGATGGACAGACAGACAGACAGACAGACAGACAGACGGACGGACGGATGCATGGACAGATGGGCGGACGAATAGACAGACAGACAGACGGACGGATGGACAGACGGATGGATAGATGGACGGATGGATGGATGGATGGACGGATGGATGGATGGACGGACGGACAGACGGATGGACAGACAGACAGACAGACAGACGGACGGACGGATGCATGGACAGATGGGCGGACGAATAGACAGACAGACAGACGGATGGACAGACGGATGGATAGATGGACGGATGGATGGATGGACGGACGGACAGACGGATGGACAGACAGACAGACGGACGGACAGACGGATGGACAGACAGACAGACGGACGGACAGACGGATGGACGGACAGACGGATGGATGGATAGATGGACGGATGGATGGACAGATGGACGGATGGATGGACAGATGGACGGACGGACGTCATGGTAACACAGGGGCGGGTCTTACCCTCAAACAGGAAGGTTTCATTCCAGTGGGGGTTCAGGTTCTTCCGCTTCACCTTGGTCTCCAGCTTGTGCTTCTTGTCAGGCAGCAGGTAGATTTTGACGAACGGGTCTGAGGTTCCGGAGAAGTCCTTGGCTGGTAGATCCTGACCTTTGAGCACTTTGACAGTCAGGGTTGTATTCTGGAAGCTGTAGCCTATGCTGAACTGGATGCGGCCCAGCTTTTCACTGACCGGCCCTTCACCGTCATCATCCTCTGAACCGGGGGACAACTGCAAGGCCAAGAGGTAGAGCCATGAATGTCAAAGGTCAAATCTCCAGGAAGAGCATAGAAGGTCAAAGCTAGAGCCAAGGGCACACACTTCCTGTTTCACCCAGACAGAGAGGCTGCAGAGGGACACATTTCATCACGGCACAGATTGGTCTGACGGTAAGAAGACTTGGAGAGTTTAATTTCCTTACTAATGTTCTTAAGAGGCAGCAGGTGCTCAGATTGAAGATATGGAGCTTTAGACCACCCGCTCTCTCTCACAGCCACTCTGACTGCTTCATCATAGCTCTACGCTAAAAGGAAGCTATCAGATAAAAGCAGCAGGGAGCGAGAGAATGAGAGAGAGAGAGCAGGAGACGAACAGCAGAAAGCTCAGGGAGAGAGAAATGCAAACAGTCGGGAAAAGCACCGCTGTTCATTTACTCACACACACCAGTCCCAATGTCCTCTATACTGGTTATTTATTTATTATCACATGTTAGAGAAATACACATTTAAATATATTGTGTGGGCAACCAGCCTACACTGCAGGAAGCCTTTATGCAAACACCAGCAGTAACCAATTAAAAATCATCCGAATATAGAAAATCATCAGCCAGTAAATGTCCAGATTTCAATTATAATCTATTTCTTTAAACTGAATTTAACACTGAAATAAAATGAGGTGTTTTATATGTTATATATTGAATAAAATGTTTAAAATCTAAAGTGTTTTTTTTGAAGTAGAGAACAACAATCGTTCAGTTTGGTTTATAGATAATTTCCTGATTCCCATATTTTCTCAAACCCCTGAACTGATGGTT